TAATTATTGAGGCCCCTATATTAGTCATAGGCTGATGCATATATCTCTTCTGCAAAGACTGTCAAGCGTCTGGGTGTTCATGTCAGCAAGCCTGAAGAGAGCACCATCTCTGGCGAGGAGCTGCTTTCTCACATCTGCATGCGCCTGGAGGTGCACGGCTTGAAAAAGCCCCTACTTAAGCTGCAAAGCTGCGGCACATCGGAAGGTATAGGTGTAGTGTAGCTTGCAGCATGGAGCTGCGGCTGCATTGTTCTCGAGCCTCGAAAGACGATGGAAGCTCGCAAGATCATTTCTGATGTTCGGGGCGGGTTCGTCTCAGTTTCGGCTGATGTATAAGTGCTCTTGAACTCTTGAGTGTCGAGCTCTTCAAGCCTGGATTCCTGTTCCTATTGCTTCTGTTGGTCGCGCCAGCTGCGAAGGGCTGAACCCCGGCTGCGACTTTCTGAAGCTCCATTCTTTTGACACCGAACCTATATGAGCTCGCAGTTCCCAAGGTCTCGAGCCCAGCAAGTCGAAGCAGATGCTTCGAAAATCCTGACTTCACTATATTGTATTATACTAGTATAGTATATAACATATATAATATAGCTATAATAATATAATAATATATATATATATATATCATAATCTAATGTTATACTATATTATCTGCTACGGCTGCAGACGGTCGCCAGGCCCAGCCAGCGGCGGCAAGCCCGGCAGCCGTCTCTGCGGCAGCGTGGGCTGCAGCAAGGCTCCGTTTTTTGCTCAGTCAGGAGCTTGCTGGGGATTTCTGGGCTGTGAGGTACACTGTCTTGCTTATTTATGTGCTGGGCTGTGGGATGTTTCTTGGCGTGATTGAAACGGGCTGTAGGATTGCAGGACAAGCAGGAACACTGTTGAGGGTATATTTGTATCGGATTCAGTCAGTTCGCTTGCTTTGCTGACGAGGTCCAACCTTTGTCCTTCGCCCGAAGACCAGCACTCGACACAACAGCAACGCAGCAAGACTACAGCCACAACAACACCAGCACCTGCACCAGCACCAGCACTAGCACCACCTTCACCAACACCAACAGCAGGAGCAACAACAACAACAGCAACAGCAGCAACAACAGCAACAGCAGCAACAACAACAACAGCAGCAGCAACAACAACAACAGCAACCCCGCTGCCACCGCCGTGGCAGCAGCGGCAATAACAGCAACACCAGCAGCAACAAACAAAATGAGGAAATCCTAAATCGTACTACAGCAAAGTCGGGCAACACGCCAACGACGAAGCTGTCGTGCAGCAGGCCACTCAGCTTTGCAGTCAGCACAGAGCGGTGTGTCTGTTGTGCAGCAAGCGAACCATGCTGTCTCTCCTTTATCCTCTCGTTTCTGCACAACATGACATTGCAGGACACATCTGCAGCCTCGGTGCAACCTGCACGGCAAGTGGTGAAGAGGAAGAGTTCGAAGGAAATACAACAGCAGCACGACAGAGGACCGAAAAGCACTCCGAGAGAAAGAGAGCGGCATCTCATCAAACAGAAACATGAGTAATTGCAGCCTGCATCTTGAGTTGCAGACTCGTTTCAGCCCCCTCCTCAAATTTCGACTTATGTTGTTTTTCGGACGCAGGCTCCAGCACACACTTCCCATCCTCTCCACCGAGTACACCTTGGCCCGCATGCACCCGCAGGACGGCACCGAGATAAATATTGTCATGCATACATGAAGCATATATATATATATGTATATGTATATACACGTATATGGATAGATATACATCTGTGTATGGTATGGTGTGTATCTATGTGTATATATATATATATATGCATGAAGTTATATGGATATAGAACATCTATAGATGTATGTGTGTATGTTTTGTATATATGCATGTCTGTCTGTCTGTCTGTCTGTCTGTCTGTCTGTCTGCCTGTCTGTCTGTCTGTCTGTCTGTCTGTCTGTCTGTCCGTCGGTCTGTCTGTCTGTCTGTCTGTCTGTCTGTCTGTCTGTCTGTCTGTCTCTATTTATGTATGCATACACGCACATACAGTACAGTGGCTAACATAGCTTGTAACAGTATCATCGATCAACGGCATGTGTCCAGATCAACATGAGAAGCAAGGGTTGCTGCCGAGTCGCAACGTGGCTGTACAACGAACGGAATAGAAGTGCAGATCCACTCAGAAAGACCCCAGTGGCAGTCCGGGGTTGTTTTTTTTACTAGGCGCTGGAGGGTCGCGGCATTTTGCAGTTTGAGAATATCTCCTCAAGGGTCTCTGGCTTGGGGACGGAGTTAGGAGGCCTCGAATTCATGTTTCTGCGATGGCAACAGTGATCAGTGCGGCGCATCGACAGCCTGCCATCTCTTGGGGGGGTCTACGTTGCAACTCGGTTCCCAAGCATCGACAGCCCACGATGCAGGATGTCTCAAACACACTGTGGGCCGCAGCTGTTCTGCGGTGCGTGCGACTGTTTGCATGTTCACCTTCCACTGGGAAACGTGACCTGGCTGGAGAAATCATTCACTTCCGGAACCCGTGTTTTGTTCTTGCTGTCGTTGTTTTTTTTGCTGTCTGTGCGCAAACTCAGGAAGCCAGTGAGTGAGTGAATCCCTGTCGCGACAGCCACAAAAACGCGCCCCCTCAACGACATAAAAAAAAATAAAACACGTCCTGGAGACGACAGCAAACCAAAAAAAAACGCGTCCCCACAACGACAGCAGCAACAACACTCGCCTCGGGGGCGCGTTTGTTGTTGCTGTCGCTGCGGGGACGTGTTGTTGTTTTCGTCCAGGGAGCGTATTTGTTTTTGCTGTCGTTGCGGGGGCGCGTTTTGTTTTTGCTGTCGTCCCCGGAGCGCGACCCCGCAACGACAGCAAAAACACAACGACAGCCAAAACCAAAACCACTCTTACCCATTCACTGCCTGACAGCCTTTCGAACCTTGGTACGAGAGTCTTCATGCATGCCATGTGTGCAACTGAGGCATGCAGTGGTGCAGCCGGAGTATCGCCACTACTCTGTGGGCGTATGCCACGCTGCAGCATACTAAATCTCCCAGAAGTCGAGTCACCCCCAGAGTAAACTGATGCTGCACAGTCCTGACTTCGTAAAACGCTTTGCCAATTCATGCACGCACGTCGTGAAGAGTAGCGAGACATCTGCAGAAGTCTTGGATTCTGCGAATGCTGCTTCTCGAAACCACGGTGCATATCCCCGTGCTGCCACACAGTTTTGTTGACAAGGCACTTGTTGCAACCAACGTGGGGCTCCACCCAATCGTGCAGGCTTGAGATTCGCAGGTCACAGACATGTGCGGCCATTGAAGTAACATTGTCGTATTGTGAACGAATTGCTCACCTGCTGCACGAGGCGACGGTGCGAATTTGCCCGCCTAGGGTCACACATGGCGCGTTGCTGGCTTGCAACTGAGACCTTGGCTGTCGGCTTCGGCTACACATGCTCGATTCATGTTGTGCGCATGGACGGTGACACTTATGGAAGTCTTTTTCGGCCTTGCTTTGAGCCTCAACCAAGATAAAGCATGATAAAGCATAGAAGGAAGGTGGATCGTGCTCGCTTCTCTCTGTCTCCAAGTCATCGACCTTGCTGAGACAACTAGAAAAGTGGGAAAAGCTCTGAGTGACCAGACGAGGCTCAGCGACACCTTCGATGCGAAGGCCACCACTGCTGGACCCCAGGACTTGATTGGAAATACAACCTTTGCCGCAGTGTGTGCTGAAGATACGCATTACCTCCATCGCATGGATGGAGAAGCAAGAAGCATTGGATCTCGACGACGGCCCGACTTTCGACAACCCTGGTTCTTTTCACGAGCAACGCTTATGGTGATACATCACCAGTATCGCGCCGCAATTCGGGGTGTAGGCTGGAGGGTGGCAAGCCTCACTACTGTATCCACCAGATCACTGACATCCAGCCTTGTCCCACCGTGCATGACACGAAGCCCTCGCACCCCGGAGCAGCACATCTCGGAGATGTGCTGTCAGCCTCTGCACCGATAGGAGTCGCGGTCGAAAGTAGCCATGTGACGTGATCTTGAGCCCCCAAGCAGGACTTAGCCCAGTTTCTCTGGGCCTCGGCTACCCTTCGTCTGCCGCTTCCAGCGCTGGGCCAAGCGCATTTCGGAGCCCTAAGTGGCCAGGCAGGGCCAGGCCATTGAAAGGCTAATTCAGGGGCCTTGAGACCAGTAGGCTAGAATAGGGTTTTTGAGTTTGATCCAATTGTATATGGCCTATGAGAGGTACTAGTTTTGACAGAAGAAGCCTCGCACTACAGGCCCGAGTCTCGTAGGTCCTCATTCTTGTGTACTGAGTGCATACACACATACATGCATACACACATACATATACAGAAGCCGATGCACTACAGACCTTCAGGCGCACTCTCTGTTCAATCTTCCGACTTCTACATTGGCAGGCTTCGTCCAGGGTGCTTGAGGCTTCATAGGGTTGGGGCATTTGGGCTGCATACCTGGCCTTGAAGGCAGGAATATGAGCATCGCCCTGCAGCCGCACCGAATATGCCAAAGAGAAGCCCGAAGCAGCAATAAAGAGTGCGTCATCAACTACCACTTCTACACTCCCTTTGCATGCTACACTGCTGGAAGCATCTTGAAGAAAAGCTCCCCACGATGTATGAAGCCACGTAGATTGTTGGGAAGGGAGTTTTAGGTCGGGTTAAGCCCCCTATAATATACTATACTATAATATATTATAATAGAATATAGTATAACATAGTATTATATATATATATATATATATATACCTTAGATCACGCTTGGCCTCTGTCAGGCGGCTGCTACCAGCCTCTGGGCTCTCTCCACCTTGGAGCAGCCACAGCTCCTGCCATCTCTGGCCCGGCAGGTGCGCTGCAGACCTTCTCATAATGGTAGTTGTTATTTTGCAAATCCAATAATGGTAGTTATAAAATAAGAATATTGGTAGTTATAAAATAAGAATAATGGTAGTTATAAGGTAAGAATAGTGGTAGTTATAAAATAAGAATATTGGTAGTTATAAAATAAGAGTAATGGTAGTTATTTTTAAGATAAGAATAATGGTAGTTAGAAAATAGTAAGAATAATGCTTATGCTAATAACAAAAATTTCAACAATGATAATGATGCTAATAATTCACTTCGGTCATGCCGGATGGAGCCAACTTCTCCCCTTGTCCAACAGTAGAAACTGCTTGATGTGGGTCGCTTTGTGGACCCGTCTTCTGGAAGTTCGAGGAACGGTCGCCTGGATATCGAACCCTTCAGAAAGCGCTTCTGTCTGTCCAACTCGCGTGCATGGCTGGCCCATTCTGCCGACAGGCAATGCAATCAGCTCTTTCTCCGTTGGAGTGGGCGTATAGCCCGAGCCTCGGCAGACCTTTTGCCATCACAGGACTCACCAAACTCCAAATGGAACCGTACTGGGAGGTAGTCGGTTGTCTTTGCATGCAGCAGGGCGATGTCTGTCTTGGCACCCATCGCAAAATGACAGGTAAATAACATGACTCTAGCTCGAGCTCGGACGATGATATCCCTAATAGCCATAGTTAGTAGTGATAGTAGCAGTAGAAATAGTAGTAAAAGTAGTAATAGTAATATAGTAATATAGTATTATAGTAATATAGTAATATAGTAAAATAGTAACACAGTAGGCAGTTTACTATAGTAATATGGTAACATCGCAATACAGTTGTATAGTAATATCGTTTAATAATATATATCTAGCTATATCTATATTCTATTTATATACATAGAGAGAGAGAGAGCGAGCAATATGGTACTATATAGTACTATGGTAATATGGCAGCAGTATGCCGGTAAGGGCCTTAAGTGATTGTCAGTTAGGCCTCTGGGGTCTGGCGAACGCTGGGATCAATGAGCCCACGTTCTTCGAGATGGCGAAGGCTCCACAACCGTTTTGGGTTTGGGCTTTAGGGTTTAGGGATGAGGGTTTAAGGATTATAGGGTTTAGGATTAGGGTTTCGGGGTTTAGGACTGTTCATGGATGTCTTGCGCTCTGAGCAGTCTGATTACATTTTTGCTGGGTTGGGGCTTGCTTTCAACCGTCATCTTACGCTGAGGCCAGGCGCTTCTTTTGATACGGGTCTGACTGGATCGATGCAGTGTCTCGATGATAGCTCGCCGCAGCTTGAAGGAAATTAACTTTTACAAGATGCCGGCGCTTCTGGACAAGAAACAGCATGCAGTTGCTATTGCATGGTAGATGCCCCTTGTCAGACGGGTCCCCTGCAGTCGCAGGCGCTTCAGATCGTCTTGAGACCCTCTTGCCGAGAATGCCTTCTGGGGTGTTAGCAGTAGCACTGTCCGGCCTCTAGCATAGAAGCTAAAAATTGTTGCCGATATTATTCCTTAAGATTCCTTTTCATAATTCTCCTTTAGAGGAGCCCAGAAGCCTTTACTAATTGTTAAGTTATTAAGGCCCCGACGTTAGATGCCGAGTCCGCCTCGAGCCCTGTCAGGTACAGCTCAGCCATCCAGGAGCTCTGGAATCCTTGGCAGCGCAGAACTCGTCAGGTGGGTTTAGGGCTTAGGGACTTAGGCGATGTTCCACGTGTGAGCCACAGAAGTCTGAGAAGTGCTCGACACTCGGACAATCGAACGGTTCGGTTGACTCGAGATTTCAAAACATCCCCGCAGGTGCGTTGCTGGCGAATGTTGCGTGGGCCTTCGCCTATGCCGCAGCGCTTTTGGGAAGGCGGTCAAGTTTTTGATTTTTGTGGTTGATGGTTTGGATCGTTTGGGTCTAGACATTTCGGATCAGGAGCTTTCGAGCTTTCGAGCTCAGAAAGCTCCTGCACTGCCAAGATGCTAGGATGAGCACTGCGTCCTCCTGTGTGGCTTCTGCCAGGCAGGAGAACGACGACGAGTTTCTTCAGTCGATTCGAGTCGCTATGCCCTTTGTCCTGCAAGAAGCTTCAACCGGGAGCTCTGATGTGTGATTTCCGAAGCAACATGTGAATTCATCTGACAGGTTTATCAAACTTTGAGTCCATCATAGTCATGTCATAGTCGTGATTTACTCTACGCTGAGAACTTTCAGTTGCACAGAACACGCGAGGCCGAAGAGCTGTCACACCCTATAAGCTCCAAGGGCCATGACAAAGACAATCCAGCAGGTAACAGCTGTGCTGTGACAGCAGTAGCAGTCGTGTTAACCTTGACTGACCTTCACAACCATGATCTCTATATATATATATATTATATACATATATGTTTGTATATATATATATATATGTACAGATATATGTATATACATATATATATATATGTATATACATATATATATATATATATTGTGTATATTCTTATATACATGTATAGATACTGAGATAAGAGGGCCCCAGGAGTGCTTCGAAGCACGGTAGCCGCAGGCGAAGGCTGGGCGCTGAAATGGGGCGGCGCTCGGCAGTACAGGCGGCCCTGGTGCTGCATTGGGCCATCGTATTCCTTGAGGGTATATGTGCAAAACCGTGTCTGGAAATACACTTATGCATGTAATGCTTATATGCTTGCTTTGTTACAATTCTTCATGGCCACCATTTAATCTGCAGTCGTTGAAATGGATGCTTATGTTCATACGATTTTACGTACACTTGTTCACTTGTATGAATACATAAGGTGTGTTATGTCTATTCTCATTTCCTATGAACCTACCATGTGTACATATACTGTGATATGTAATGCATTTATATACATGTACACATTCCGTAGCATACATATAGCAATAAGTTCACATACATAGATTTACATACATTCACATACATGCACATACATTCATATTACATACATATACGTATTCATATACATATACAGGTTCATATACCTTGCCTGCATACATTTGTCTCCGTCTCTCTCTCCTCTCTCTCTCTCTCTCGCGCGCTCTCTGTCTGCATACCTCTCCAGCAGTCATTCGTGCGAGGATGCAAACGTGCAAATAATTTGCCACACTTGCATGCTGCGGACGGATCCGCCTTGCCGCATTGCGGCAACAGATCTTTTGTTCGCTCTAGCTGGAGATGTGTGCCGGTTTAGCATCGGGTGTTTTGTTGGTGCGTTCAGTGCTGCTAAGCCACGGCCATGTCTGCTAGAGATCTTGAGCACAAGCCCAATCGGAGGAACAGAGCTCCATGCTGCCAGACTCTGGTGGCGAAGCGCCACGACTGGAACACCACTCGGGAGGTGGGGCATGCGGAATGCGCGAGGTATTTCGCAGGTGACATCGGGAACCGCAGTCGGTGTCACGGAGTGACGGGGCTTAACTAGAGTAACTGCAGCAGAGCACCAAATCATTCGAGCCCTCGCAGGAGTGGCTGTGATCTACAAGCCTCCAGGGTGGGAGGCGCGGAAGGCATATGTGGATACAGGACCTTCAGGCACTGGGCTGGATAGCCACCCGATTCGCAAGGTCATGTCTGAATTGCCTGAATCCCGAACTCCAGCGCTTCTCGCGTGTCAACTCTTCAGTCCCCGTCAGGTGGACGGCGGTGAGACGCGCCCGACTTCGAAAGCCAGAAGGTGGGGTCTCATGGCGTTTCATGTCCATCGACTGCGGTTTGCTGCAGGGGATGTATGGGTCAATGCAATATAAACCCTCTTAGTGACCCTGACGAATGAGGGTTCCCAGCCATGACACTCATGCTTCCGCCCGGTCTTCCAGAAGCTCTTTTAAGCTCCAATGGGGTGGCCCTTGCGAGACGTCTTCCAAGTTAGCAGCTGGCTATAAGGCCCCAAAACGGTTCTTCGCTCCGGGAGCTTTCTTCTTGGTGTGGTGCCCTGGTTCAGAATCCCCTAGGCAAAGCACAGCCTGAGGTCCCACGAACTGTGAGAACTCTGCAAAGGCTTTCCGATTTTGTGGCAGCCTCGCTGGCATCCGAAACCGTGGGCAGTCAGGACCATGGATTCGGAGGCTCGCAGTAATCTTTAGAACTTATGGTCTTACCGGTGGTGTTGCCGTGGGTGCTGTATCCCCAGCACTTGTTTATGATCATGTGTACGTGCGCGCTGCTTGCAAGTATTTTCTGTAGGATCACGAATCACTGCGATGTCATCTCTCCCACTGTTCGCATTGTCTTGTTGTGTTCTCCTCTTGTCTTCAGGACTGAGGGCTTCAAGCTGGGGCTTTAGGGGTTATGCCTTGAGCTGGCATCGGAGGATCCTCCAAGTCGGCAAGCAGGGTTTTGTGGTTCTACCTTTTTGTTTCTGCAGTCCGAGCCTTCGTATAGTTTAGTTTGTTTTCCAGCCGACCGTTGTCTACACCCCCCCCGGAGACTACGCTTCGTCATCAGCCGGCATTCTGCATTCTGCTAGGGGTTAAGGCCAATTAAGGCCTCAGAGAGATTGTCTTCAATACCTGAAAGGAAGCTCTACTGTCTGGTGCTTAGTAGGGAATGGGGGAATGGGTTAGAGGGACTACTATAAGGGACCTGAGGGGACTATCATAAGGATCCATTCCCCCATTCCCTACTAAGCACCAGACAGTCTAGCCCAAGTTTGGCTTTCCTGGTTTGCAGGGCGCTTGGATGTGGCCTCATCGGGATTGGCCTCTTGGCATTCTGACTCCATGACCGGTTCAATGTTGAACCTGGCAGGGTCAGAAGGGATTGTCCTTCACAAGGCCCCTGCCCGAAACGTGTCCGCAGGACCCACCGGAAACATCGCTTCAAGCATTTCTTACAGAAGTCTGCATCGGGGCCCGCCCCCCAAAGCCCTACTCTAATTATCAAGTCAAGGCAACACTCATTTCACAAATCATATTACATGCGTGTGACGACAAGGATGGTCACATTCGCTACGACCACGCGGATGCCATGTTAATTCATTCACTCCATGTATGCAGATACGCAACTCAAAGCGGGATCAGCCACGGCCCACCACTCAAGCAGCTATCCTGAAGCTTTTGTCCAAATACCGTGTCAGGCAGGGGACTCGGGGCCTTCAGGCTCGAAAACCCAAGATGCTCCCACGCATGAGGTGCTTCATGCAGAGACTCATGAGGCGTTGATGGACCTCCGCTGGCAGCAGGCAGTCTGTAGCAGTCTTGGCATTGCTGCTGGCGTTGGCATTGCTGTGTTGCCGTATCAATACTGTTGTTGCTTGACTTTTCCTGCAAAAAGGATGCGACCCTGATGATGATGGTGATGCTGGTGATTTTGCTGCTGCTGATGAAGATGTGATGATAGTTGTGATGGTGATGATGATGCCGTCGAAGATGATGATCATCATCATTGTCCGGATTGTCATCATCATGATGACGATGGTATTGCTGACGGTAAGAATATGATCGGAGTGGTCATCCACATCTACAATCATCGAGAGCGACAGCACCGACAATACAACACCGTGACTACTAAATGTTTCGCGTCGTGCTTTCCTGAATTCTGCCGCTGCTGCTCTCATGAGTATTGGTGTCGCTCTTCTCTGTTGACAAACGTGGCTCAGCGCCTGGTCGTGCAGCGATTGAAGTGTAGGTTGAGCGGCGGGATGGCTGGCAGGCTAAAATTTGTGTTGGCTAGGCTTCTTGATCTGCATCTGGTCACTGCCACAGAGAGGACTGTCAGCAACAGCTTTGGTGATGGTGGTGTCTACCGGATTTGCCACAGGATACCCTTCGTGTTGAGCGGGAGTACCTGGCTCTTGTGCATGGGCGCCTTGGTCGCCTCTACATAGTAGAACTATAGAAGACATGCACTCTAGCAGCCTCAAACCGGTGTGATGCGCTGGGAAGTTGGAAGCAGTTGAGCTCAAGAGGTCTGTAGACCGCGCCGCGATGGTTGGCCCTCAAAGTGATACCTGCCTGGTCGTAGAAGCTGATGGCAAGAGCAGCTCTTCTATCTCTTCTCCTAGTGGTCACGCATGGGCGTCGGCTCTGTGGAATTTGGCTTCTAGACTGCACGTTTCCTTGTCCAGAGGTTCGTGAAGACCGGCCTCCAATGCTTGGACGATCGCCTGTCAGAAACTGAAGGCCGGTCGAGGTTTAGGGCTTTGGAGTTTAGGAGTTTACTGTCTGGTGCTTAGTAGGGAATGGGGGAATGGATCCCTATGATAGTCCCTTAAGGTCCCTTATAGTAGTCCCTATAACCCATTCTCCCATTTCCTACTAAGCACCAGACAGGTTTAGGAGTTTAGGGTTCAGAGCCAGAGCTTCTGAGCCAGAGCTTCTCTCTGGGGGATTCTTGGGGTCTTCGGAGGTGGGGGCTGGGTTTCTGCCGAATTTCTTTGGGATGGGCCTGGCCTAAAGTCCTAAACCCTACCGTAAACCTTGAAAGCCCTAAAAGCCCCGAACCTGCTAATCCGCAGGCGGCAGCTCCGTGTCCCAGAACGGCAGGCTGAGTCGAAGACGCTCGATTTCCACTAGTACTGAGGACTCGGAAGGACCGTGGTTGAAGGATTGAGGGATTGGGGGTTTGAAGGGTTAGGTCTTTTGGAGTTTGAGGGGCTCAGAACGTACGGTTGCAGATGTGCTCGGAGCCCCGGGACTGGTTCTTGCCGTGTGATCAGATTGCGAGAGTCCTAGAGCACAGAAGGCCTGCCAACCAGGACCGCAATGAGATAGGGCAGAAGAAGATAACGTAGGGGCCTAAATAATTGGAATAGCGTTTTGGGGCCCATTAAACTATAATTATGACAAGGAACCCCCAAAATTATATAGGTAATTATTAAGGCCCCTACATTAGACGATAGCCCGAAAGGCAGAATGCAGGCAGCGGTGCTGAGTACTTCTACAATTCACCTTTTCGCATAGCCTTTTCAAAAAAACTCAACCTTTCCAAGCTTCTTATCCGAGGTGGGTTCCATTGAAAACCAAGGTGCAGCCGTATGATCACGGGTCTTCAGACAAGAGCTGGTTCGCATGGCAGATGTTGTACCCTAAGGCTGGGCGCTTCCGATTGGCCACATTGCTGCTTCCTCACCGCGGCTCGTCGTGCAGAGATGGGATTAAGTTCGAGTTTGCTGCACCACATGGTCCAAGCTGCGACTTTCTCGAATTCGCCGGAAAGGTTTCCGTTTTGTTCTTGCTTGCCCTTTACACATTTTGAACAGAGATACTGAGATACTGAAAAAATGACAAGGGGAGTTGCAGCCAGACATTGCCAGTTCAGCAGCTGCAGAAAAGGCCGCAGTGCCCCATTGCCTCGACGTGTTTGAGGGTCATGTGCAGGGGGCGGGCGGGCGGGGGGGGGGGGGGNNGGGTGCGACTGCTCTCCTGACGCGGCGTGGATCAATGCTCATAATGAGCTTTCCATCCAAGACTGCAAAGAAACAGCTCAAGTACTCATGAGCGACAAGGGAAGAAGAAGCAGATCTGTTCCCGAGAGGTACCGATATAGTAGCTACCTAATAGATATTAGGGCCCCAAAGGCATATATGCTATTCTAAGTCTAACAAACCTTAAACTTAAACCCTCAACCCTACAAACATACTATTGCTGGGACCCTTTTGGGATCGAAGGGACGCTTCCCAGAGTTTTATCGAGACGGAAGCAGCGACCTGAGATTGAGGTGTACAGGACAGCGTGAGCTGAAAGCCCCTCGAAAAGTATACCATAGTATACTATAGTATACTGTAGTATAATATAGTATAATATAGTATATTACAGTATACTGTAGTATAATATAGTATAATATAGTCCAAAATAGTATAGTATAGTACGGTATATTCTAGTATATTATGGCATAAGCATAAGGCCATAAGACAAGGTACACACTGCTGGCCGTGTCCATTCTCACCGGACGCCGGCACCAGATTCGTGTGCAGCTGTCGAGCCGCGGCTGCTTCTTTGCACGAAGAGTCGTGGGTTCCATGTGGAATTTCAGTCTTCGATGAGCAAGGTGGCCAGATGTCTTGCTTGAAGCCTTGGAGCCGTCTATAGACTTGAAGCAGCCTTCAGGGCACAAGGAAACAAGGAAGCAGAGGCATTCGGAGTGCATGCATCATGGCACTTGGCAAGGATTATATCTGCAGTTTCCGTGTTCTCTTGCACAGCGCCGTATTGAAAGCAGTTTATCTGACCTCTCTAGGTATCGTCTGATCTAGCTTGCCTATGCTTTGCGTGTGCGCGACAGAGTTTCACCCAATATTATTTATATCCCAGACCTGACTTATGATGCAGGTTCATTCGCGGGCCAGGTTCTCACTGCACCTGGTAGCCTTGGGCTCCACACGCTTCTGGCAATATAGTGAAACTTAGGCCATCCTGTCGTTTGTGATGGACGCTACGGTGCAGCATCCTTGAGCCAAGATACCGCATGGCTTCTCGGCAGAATCAATCTGAAACTATTCGGGGCGCTTGCGTCCCAACCGCTCGTGTGTGCAATGAGAAAGCACCTACGATCTTCTTAGTCGTCTTCATGCCAGGTCGCACAGTGCTCTACTTTTGAGATGCAATGTGTTGCATCTTCAGCTTCCGCAGAGGGTCTTTGCAACAGGAACGTGCGAATAGGAAGGCCTCCCGGTTTTAAGTTTCGCAAGCTGTGTCCTTCTTTGATGCCGTATTCCCCCTTCGGCCGGGTGGTGAGCAGAGTGACCAGAACGACGTCGATATTTGCCCATCGGCTTGTGGATGACATCCTCCGATCCCATCTCGAAAACATGCAGGGTTTCAATATGCCTTGCAGACAAAGTTTGCACAAGCGGCAGACAATCGCGGCCAGCCCACATGTCATGAGTCGTTCCCACATATATGCATACACGAACGGAGATGCAGTTCTGTAACATCTATTGTATAGTATTTATGCTACGCCTCATACTTATTGGCATCGCAATCTGCGAGTCTCAATATAGCCCTATGAGATGAAAACCAGCGTGGCCCAGAAGGCAGTATATTGGTATATGCTAGTTCTGTTGCTATCAGTACTATCGCTGATACATGCTGTCATCATTCTGATGAGGCTTTTGGTAAGCATGAAATCGGATGCCAATGTTGACATGAATTCTCTGATTTCACTTGCACTAGAACCACTGGGACTGGGATAATTGTTCAGGTAGCAAGCAAGGACGCTCCAGTGCAGACGCATTAGAAACGGGATTCCTGCCATTACGGCTGCCAGCACAGACACTCTCGTTGAGATGCAGCTTAGAAACCCAAATAATTTTACTCATGCTGGCGGGATCATCATCGACGACGCTATCATGACAGCCTCCTGCTATATTGTGGCCACCAACCTGACAAATGCGAGGGACTTAACAGTATTGCGGCGAGGGAACTGAAGTTTTTTGACGCCATAGGTACCTTACTGTTGATTTTAATGTTAGAGCGCTAACACCCATTCGATCTAGCATCTATTCATCTTGCTGTCTATCTACGTATGTGCTTGATTCGCGCGCACGCGCGTGTTGCGATTCTTTGCTTTTATTTGCTCATGTATACATTCAATAGGAACTCTGAGGTCCTTGGCTAGAGTTGGGTATGTGTACTTGTTTATATGCACATGCATGCACAAATTCATGCCATGACTTTTAATGCCGAAACGCGGCTCAGGTGCTCAAGGCTGTTTTTGCACCGCAGCCGCTTGCGATGCATGGATCTCAATTCTGAGGCGTGCCAGCTCGGGTCAGTCCGGACAGGTGTTGAGGCATGCTGCTTTGAGATAGCCATTTCAGGCCGGAGGCCAAGCAGGATAGGTCGGATAGGGGCAGGAACAGCCTGGAGCAGCGTGGCTGCAGCGGGTTTGCGTTTGGTGTTTCGATTCGGCTGGGCTGAGCCTCTCGTGCCAAATG